TGCCAACTACATACTGTAGCATGAGTTAGTTCTAACCATCAGGTTATTGTGAAATGAGTTTCAGGACTTTTGGCGAAGGCTGTTTCACCTGTTCCCCTTCGTGAGTCAGTAGCAGTGTCATGCACTACCCTGTGGGCATGACATCTGGGGTTTCCACTTGCTTGGCATCCCTTCCTCTGGGTTTTAGAAAAAGTAGCTCCCTTCTTTAGTCAAGTCTCCTCTTATTCTCTTGTGTGGTACCAAGGAGGTGGTCAGTCTGACCCCTGAAGCTGTGCCACACTGGTCAAGTATGGGGGATGCAGCTCAGTCCACAGACTTTCTCTTCCTTGGTGGAAGCCTCCCTAGCATGCCAGGCATTAGGCTGATGCACACCAGGGGTCCAGCTAGAGGTGTCCACTAGCTGTCACTCACTGGGACCTGCTTGCACAACTTCCCTTCCGTGCTCTGAACTACCTTGAAGCCTCCTAATAGAGTTCTTTATTGATATTTTAGGCACAGTTTCTATAATTTACATTTGAAGATACTTAGTGAATTTCTCTGTTCTTCGAGGGTCAACCAAATTTTGGCTTGAGACCACTTACACGCAGCAGACAATTCTCATTCCTGCTTTTAGAGAGTTTCTCTTACCTTTTGTTTTTCTTGTTTTCAAAGAGTCGTTTCAGTTTGTGGATGGTCTCACCCTCCTGTGTGGCCTGTCTTAGCCAAGTCAGAGAAGGTACTCAGCATTTTTTCCTTTGCTGTGCTTCATCCCAAACCCACTTTAACAAGGGTCATGTGTGGGGATGGGTGGACAGTCTTTACAGAGGAAAGAGTAAGATGTGCAGCACACAAACACAAATATACACGTACATGGGCAAACAAAAACTAGACATCCGTGTTCTTAAAAAGTCCCACCAACAGAAATTCTAAGTTCTAGTTCTTCCCCCTTGTGTCTGTTCTCTATTTCTGCGCTTCTGCAAATCTCTTGGCCAGATTTCTCCTGTGCAATGAGTTGTGCAGACAAAAGCTTAGAATCAGACATGAGAACAGTGGTCATAGGCACACGAAGGGTTCCCATCCTTTGGCTGTAATTTGTGTTAAATTAGATATTGCGATCATCCCTGCAAGAACTCAGGGCTCTTTCACAGACCATTTTCATTTGTCTCTTCAAGCGGAAAGCTTTCTAAGGGAAGGAAGCTGTGGGAATCAGAGACAGGCTGAATTTCTTGTCTCTTCAAGCGGAAAGCTTTCTAAGGGAAGGAAGCTGTGGGAATCAGAGACAGGCTGAAGATATGACCAGGAGCCTCAGTGATTCTGGACACCATAGGCATGTACTTGGTGCCTGGGCTCATCCTCTGCTGGGTCTCTCCCTTATCACTTTATATGCATAAATCTGACCACTGGACACTCAGGATCCCAATGGTGTGAGGTCCACATGGCACCCAAGGGTGCCCACCCAAGCAATGACCTCAGTGTCAGACATTTAGTAGGTGTTTGGTCAGTGCTTGAAGAGTTACTGTGTTTGTTCTCCAAAAATCATACCACCTACTAGTCATTCGTTCAATAAGGATGCATAAAATTCCTTCTTTGGGCTAAGCAATGGGGACAAGAGCAAAATAAAGACCTAATTCCTATCCACAAATTTCTAAGACTCTAGCACCAAATGTAAGGGAGAAATAGGCAGTAATTCAAAAGTGGGATAAGTTTTGGGTCGTATGTTCACTCAACAAATAGCCTTCAGTCACCTTTGGTGTACTAGGCATTGTTAATTATCCGAGACTCTGGGGGAAAGACATATCTCTGTAAAAACAAAATAGACCCAAATCACCTATGAGTTTGATAGTATTTTTGGGTGCGTGGAGGGCAGAGAAAATGGACAAGAAAAAATTCACATGCACGCAAGACAGTGCCCAGTACATACAGCCACTCCGTAAACATTTATCTAATAAATGCTATTGAGAACAAATAATTACAAAGCAAGATACATACCATGATAGAAGTGAAAGGGCACTCTGGCTTTTTAGAAATCTGAGAACAGCTTCTAAAATCTCCAAATTGCTTATCTTCTCTATTTCTTCTTTTAATACCCTCACCCAAGTCTCGCATTTATTTTGTGAATTTGGAAGGCAAGCGAATTTCGAAATCATTTGTCAGGAAGTATGGATTACCAGGTTTGGGAGGAAGCTCCAAGAGCATGTGGCCCAACACTCACTGCTTTATCTCCCCGTGGAGCCTGTGGACAGAGAGACTAAGGCTTGCCTCTGTCCCATAGCTGCGTAGAGGGTGAGAGCCCTGTACCTTTGAGTGCCCCTCCAGATCATGCTGCATCTTCCCATGGAACCCTGTTGCCTGTAGACAAAGTCAACAGTAAATCAGCTTCAAATGCCGACCTCCCAAAGCCGAGTCCCAGGGAGGACTGCACGTGGCAGGGACCCTGCTTCCCTCCCCACGCCCCTGAGTGCGCTTCGCTTTCCTCACATTCTCTCTGCAGCCCGCGCAGGCTGCTTCTGCTTGCAGCTGAGAAAGGACCTACTCTGCAGCCCTTGGGAGCCCAAGAAGGAGATGAGAAGCCCTTCCCAGCCTGTGTCAGTTTACAGTGGGAACAAGGCCTGGGGAGAGGGCCAGAGCCGGGCTGACCCTGGAATGTTAGTGCTTCCCTGAGCTCTCTCTCTCTCTCTCATCCCCAGCAGAGGTTGTGAGTCTCCATGACCTCCCTACGGCACAGGGCACACTTCTCACCAGCAGGCCCTGGGCAGATGCTTTAGAGTCCTCCCCTTTTCTGACGGTGGTTTCAGGCATCGTGGTTTCCCAGAATTTCCTTCTTTGTCAGGGGTCACAGATCTCCTCTGGAAGAGTGGCTCAGGAGGAGTATCACGGCAGGATAGCAGTAGTTCTGCTTTTGCTGGAGTTTGCCCAAGAACTCTCCAAACCCTTCACTCAGGGCTCTAACAGGAGGACTCAGATGTCCTGCAAAAGCCAAGCTAATCCTCATCTGCCATTCTTGCCTCTCCATGATACTCGGAGCACCTATCTGCAGTTCAAATTTTAAACCTTCCTCATGCAGAAGAGGTGATTTTTCTGTGCGGGGGCTCCTGCACACCACTGACCTGATGATGGGTGCAGTGACAGACTGCTGGTCTAGTCAGTGAGGCCCTTCTGTGGGAGATGGAGGACCACTGGATGAGCCATCACATCCTTTCTCAGGTCCTGCTTTATTTCCCCAGTACATACTGAGACTTCTGTGTATTAAGTGATATGTTAGACTCCGATAACTCAGATGTAGAAAGAACTTTGTAACCCCAGATCTTTTTGTCCCGGGTCAGAATTCAGTAGATGACTCAGTTCCTTACTAGCAACAAACTAGCTCTCGAGATTTTGTTGTGTCATATATGCAACTCTCATTTAAAAGACAGACATTACTTTAAATAAGCCCATGAATTTATTAGGGCCCTGGAATTCAAGGAACCTAACTCAGTCTGACCTAAGGAAAAATCAGAATTTATTGGTTCATACCTATGAAGGCTGGGCCTAGAGCCTTCCCCGGGAAATCAGATGTTGGTATCATCTTTTTTCCTCCCCCCTTCCGACCTCTCACTTGAAATCTTAGCTCTCTGCTTCTCTTCAAGTTCTGCACTCATTCTTTTCAATATACAAGAGTTTTATCCACACGACGGAAATTGGCTCAAGCAATTCTAGGCTTCATCAAACTAGATTAACAGCTCTCAAGGAAAAGACTTCTCTCTACCAGAATCGGCGCTTAAAATTCAAGGGAAAAACATTAATAAAACAGACTTGGATGTTTGACCACCCCTGAGCCAATCACAGTGGCACAAAGCATGAGATACTTTGATTTGTTGAATCTTGGGCACATGACACCCATCAGAACCATGTGATGTGAAAAAAGGCATAGCTTCGTTAAGAAGGTATGGGTTCTTTCCATGGGAAATGGGCTGGATGTTGAAAAGAACAAAACGGAGCAGAAGAGATATGTCTGTTATGGCAGATAATATAAACAGTAAAGTTGCTGTTATACAGAAGCAAAAGTAGTGACGGCCTTTATTAAAGAGTGGTTTCAGAATTTCTTCTCGTGGTTAGATTGTTTAGGGATATGTAAAGCATAAGTATACTTAAAAATACCTAATGAGCTGCCAACTTTTATAGGACATACAGATGTGGTATCTGCATAGAAATAATACCTAAGGTGACAGAGGACAGACTGACATTTTTGGGAGGAGGAAAAGAATTCACACCTATTAAACATTTATAGGTTTTGTGATAGAGTTGTATAGCCATTCTGTGAAGGGGGTACTGTTGTCCCTTCCATTTATAGGAAAGTGAATTAATCCTCAGAGAAGTTACAAAAGAAAAATAAATCTCACTGACAGTCCCAGGCTAAAATTGCCAGAGGTGGGATGTGAAACCACATTTGCCTGATTCCAGGTCATGTTCTTTATCTACAAGTCCAGTTACCCTGCCAGAGGCAAAACATATCCCAACTGAAAAGTGGAGGGCCAAACCATGAGTCCCTCCTCTATTTATAGATAGAGAACAAAACCAAACAACCCAAGAGGGTAGAAGTGCCAAGTCAGGAATCAGTTTTTCTGGGTCTCTTTTGAGGATACTCTTTGCTTCTAAAGTAGGGACAGTGCTGGAAAGGAAGACAGTTGATTACAAATGCTGCAGCCACTGAGAGAATGTAGCCAAGACAGGACAATGGATTCAGCAACCCAGGGGCCGTCCATGCCTTGGAGGAGTCTGCCTCAGCTGAGGAGTGTATTCAGATCCAACACGTAAAGGGACTGCAACACATAGCTGGTTGAGAAATGGAGGCTTCAAAGTAGATTTCATTTGAGAAATTTAGCAGTAGATACGATGATATATATATGTATTTGCATGTTTCATAGTTATGAAAGCTATAACCAAAGAAGGATTAAAAATCAGCATGTAATAAAAACTAAAGTTAATCTTATTTTTACATAGAACAAATAAGCAATTAATGATCCAAATAAGAGCCCAAATTAACTCGGGCAGTTGAAACCATGGTCTGGGAAAAAAATGAGTGTGGCCCACAACAGGGTTCTTAGTGGGTTTTGTCCTCCTGCTGCTCTGTTTTCCCATGTTTCTCTTCATACAACAGTTGTGTCTTCCTGATGTCATGGATTCCCGGGCACTGTGCATGGTCTGGATATAGGACTTGCTTGACCTGGTATGATTGAAGCCAAGTCGGCCAGCCCGTCTCTGGAACTGACATGCAGGTAGTGGAGAGAGCTGTCCTCTTTCTCAGCTAGGTTGTTATGCTGGGATCACCCGCGGGAGACAGGTGGAGGCAGCTCCACTTGTGAGTTCACATTAGTAATGACGAAGGAGGTGAAGGAGGATTTCTTTCTCTCAGCATTCTTATATAAAATCCAAGGGAAGGCATCGTCCCTGGCCCTGTGAAGGTAGCCTGTTCACAAGAGGAGAGAAATGCCAGTCTAGAAAAGGGGCTGGGGGTCAGCATCCTTCAGAACTCTGAATCCAGCCATTCCTGCTATCTATTCTGGACTCCCCTTTATTTACTGGGGAGAGTTTGAATTGGGGCTCTGCAGCTGACAACCAAAGTAGGGCTCAGTCACATAATTTCCATCCACGCCCAATTTCATCCTTTGAATAGATATGAAAATTGTAACCTGCCAGAGTCCCTGAGAATACATATAATAATAATAATAATAATAATAATAATAATAATATGCCTGATAACACTTTGTAACTTAACCTGTACATAACAGGTCCTCTTAGTTGTACATTGTTTCATCTTCTAAGTGGTACATGTGGATAGATTTCTTAACGTGGTGGGGTGTGAGGATGACAAGAATCTTGGGTAGTTATAATCCTCTTCCAAAAGAGAAATGTTAATCAAACTACCAGACTTGAGCAATGCAGGCAAAAGGAATGCATGATGAGTAGAGCTTTGCAGGTTTCTAAATGAGACAGACCCCTGCCCTGAACCTCTAGGTGGGCTCCTGGAAGTCCCTGTCCTTGCCTGCCTTCTCCTCTTCCTGGGATTTCTTCTCCTCTTGCCCTTGAGGCCTCTGAGCTCTCTCTAGGGCCCTGAGAAAACCAGGTCCATTCACTTCCATCAGTGCCAGGAGAGAGCTGAGTCTGATTCTTTCAGGGGCAGAGCAGGCACCAAATAATTTTTCTGTGACTGATGATGTTACCTCTTCTCATATAGCACCTCTTCCCTGAGCTATGGCACGTTCAAGTGTCAGGCTCTCATCTCTGTCTTACGAAAAACATTCCCCCAATAAGACAGAGAGGGAAAAAAAGAAGAAAGTGAAAAAGGTTAAATACTCTGGAACAGCCCAGGGTGACCCTTGGAGCAGAGCACAGTGTGGTACACACTAGAGACTCCCAGAGAGGCTCTTCAGTCCTGCCACGCAAGCAGCACCCCACTCACAAGCTAGTATTGCCACGTGGCACAACCATTAGCTATCCTTTCAAAAAACCCTACTCCCAAAGATTTTCTCTATGCACTTGACATACTTGCAGAAAGGACAGTTTTTAAATCGGTGGATTCCATCAGGCTATAGAATCCTTTCCAATTTCAGAACCTTTCACTGTATCACATATACTACTGATGAAGAAGTAAACCCTTAAAACCTTTCTGGTAGGTTAATGTGAAAGCCTGAAAAATGTCCATATTTTACAACACATACATTGTACTTCCAGAGTGTGGACTGGCTCTACCACTCACACAGCATAGATTTTGCTTCTGTGAGTCTCAGTTTCCTCATACTTAAAATAGGAACAATATTGGAGTTCCTTCTCACAGCCTGCTATGATGATTGAATGGAACGTCTCAGAAAGTGGGTGGTGATAGGTACACACACATGAATATGATCCACATAAGCGTGCAGATGTCGAAATAGAAACACAATTCAGCATGACAAATGAATTGGCAAATTTTAGGAAAATGCCTAATATTAGGTTGTTGGCTAAAAATTGTGTACAGTTATAAGATGGAATAAAGAACTATTTCAGAAGACCACATTGTGATATAAGAAGATACTCATAGTATATTGTTCAAAACATTTCAAATAATATGTACAGTTTGATCCACATAATCAAAACAAAAGTAAAGGGAATATTTTCAGTATTATTGATAAGTCTCTCCAAGTTGATGGCTGAATTTTGCCTGCATGTTGGAATCATGTCAAGAATATTAAAAAAAATATATCTTGCGATAGGATCCCAGTTCTAGAAATTCTGGTTTAATTGGCCTGCACTATGATCTGGTCCTTGGGATTTTTATTTTTGTCTACGTGCTTGTTTTTCTTTCCTTAGATTTTTCCTCCAAGTCTTCTAAGATAAATATGCATCACTTTTATAATTAGATATTAAAACTATAAATGCTATTTCAGAGACATTTCGACTGCCCCAGAGGGACGCTGACTAAGCAGTTCTGCCACTGCCTGGTTTTCCAGAACCTTCCCTCCCAAGGAGAGATGGAGTTTGTCAGTGAGACTGAGTCACTGCCCTGGAAAACCGGTTTGGGGAGGGGGTTGGGGAGCTCAAGGAGAGGACACTGGCCATTCGAGGTGCCAGACACGCACAAAGATAGACCCACAGACAGGCTGTGCTGGCTGAGCACCGGTGTGCAGGTGGCTCTATTATTTATGGCCCTTGCTATCTGTGGCCTTGCTGGGTGCCTGTTTTGATATTGGGAATTCATTTATGTATGTCAGCATCCTATTTCGCTTTTCCAGCACAGTCTTGAAAAGGGCCAGGAGGATTGGGCGCAACAAAAAGAAAGCAAGCAATGGAAGATCTTTGGCTGCTAAAAAAAAATAGTGTAACTGACAGAAAGTCCAAGGCTGTTTGAATTTTCCTCCCTTTGTGTCTATGATTAAACACTTCGGGTCTGAGGTAGAGCTTCTCTGGCTGGTGTCGCACCCCACCTCACCCCCATTCATTCAGCAAGTCCTCAGTGAGTTCTTCTTCTGTGCCCAGTGCTACTCATCATTTAATTCTTATCTGGAGCCTCAAGCCCATGACTCAGGTACTGTTATTGGCTTGATTTTTACAGGTAAAGGGTTTGAAGCTCAGGGAAATCGTTGGCCCAGAGTCATCCAACAAATTGTCAATCATCACACCATCACCAGAGTGGCTACTGTTTACCGAGACCTTCTTCTGCACGAAGCACTGAAGGAAGAGCTTTCTAACCTCTTTATAAGCACTCCACTTCCCGAGTATCCCTAGGAGGCTGTGGTTATCTTCATTCCTCCTTTACAGATGATGACGCTTACACACAGAGGGGGAAAGCTACTCATCCAAGGTCACACAGCTTTTAGGCAGTGGGAAAGGATTTATGTCCAAGTGTGTCAAACTCCTAGACTCGAGTTCTCAAGCCCTAAATTGTGTTGCTCCCTCAACTTGGCCACTGAGCCTCAGAAGTCAGGCTTGATGCCTTTTTTTTTTTTTTTTTTTTTT